GAGAGAGAGAGAGAGAGAGAGAGAGAGAGAGAGAGAGAGAGAGAGAGCAAACACAGATCAGCTTGATCACGCATATGGCTACGGGTTCGATCAGCCCAACACAAGGTTGGTCCCTGGGCGCCTTGTTTCTCAGGGCCGCCTCGTGACTCGGCTGCCGATGTCATGCATCATAAGGCAGATGGCATGTGCAGTGTAAACAGAGCTACGGATCTAAACACTCTTGCGTTCTCCAATAAAATCCTGACGACAATCATCTATTCAATAAAAAAGTCACTCATTCCCTATATGCATTCACTGTGGAAGGTGCAAAAATGAGACGTGCATAGGAAAAGATGGATCGCATCTCTCAGTACACAGGCATCCACCGTTCAAAAGACAAGAAAGCAGGGTCCTTGCGTAGGAGGATTACCCAGGAAACTAATGGAAGAGTTCCGGAAGAAGTTCCTTCACATAGAATGCCGACTCATTTCCATTCAAGAGCGGGACAATCATTCAGACGCATCATCATTCAAGAGGAGAGAGAGAGAGAGCGAGAGAGAGTCAAATAGAAGACGACAAGGTCCGAAAAGAGAAAAGTTCGGCGTCACCGCCTTACACTCACGCCAAGGGTAACAATCCGCAACTAAGTCCCATTCGCCGCTAATTCCACTATGACCCAGGCCATTCACTCACTCAACTCTAATCATCAACCCTCATATCCGCACCAACGATCCCGGCTGTTGCATGCTAACTCCCACCACTGCGATCGTGACCCCGATGTCGTAAACTCGACACGGTTCGCCCGGATCCCACAGTCCTTCGTGGCGATCAAGCGCGCAACCGGCCAGCCTATCGTCAGCCCGACAGGACTTTTCGAATCGCATCAATCCACTCTGCCTAGCCACTGCTTCCCGGAAGCTGGCTTAGAAATTGAGAACGTAAGAGAGATTTGCGGGCGCGCTTGCGGGTTTTATAGTTGCGAGAAAGGAGATAGAAGGGGGAGAGAACGACGGGAAGGCGGGGGTGTAGGAGGAGAAGGAGGAGAAGACTTTGAGAAGAGCGCTCCGAGAACGCCATGTTGATCCCTCGGAACTCAAGGTTCAACCAATCAGATCCGTCGCCCGATAGGTAGGTCCTAGCGATCCACGCACCTGATTGGCGAGCGAGAGTTATCGGGGGATCGATTGGGCGTCGTACGCGAGGCTCAGAGGGTGAGAAGAGAAAAGGCGCGAGAGGTGGCGCAAGACGGGTCCAAGATTCAGATGATCGAGAAACGCAAATGGGCGTACAAACGCAAGGCGGGAGAGGGAGAGGGAGAAGGAAAAACAGTTACGGGGAGAGAGAAAAAAGAGGGAGAAGGGAAGGGAGGCGCGGAACGGAGCGATGCGGGGGACAGAGAGGAAGAAGCTTTTGCATGCACGGCGCCGTCAACAACAAAAAAAAAAGGCACCGAAACAGTTACAGCTTGTTTCTATCTCAATTCAAAAATTGAAATCACCATATCCGCGCGCGAAAAAAAAAACGACGTGGGAAAAAAATCCTACGCCTATTCGTATTTACGCAAAATTCCGAGAGTTTTCCCCGACGCGCCCAAGAACATTTACACACCCAAAAAGGACACGTCGAAGTTCCGCTTATCCCGGAGTTCCCAACTACCGAGCCAAATTCCCAGCGCGCTTGCTAAGGCGCGCGGAAATTTCCATGTATTTCCCGACTTTGCAAAAGGAAAAACAGAACTCAACAATCGAAAGAGCTCTAAAAAAAAAAAGGAAAATGCAGCACCTAAAAGCAAGAAATCATAACCGGTTTTTTCCAGGGGTTGGTAGGATACAAGCAAAAGAAAAGGTACGAAAGATAGCACGGGTTCGTGAAGTGGTTCGTCATATATGTGACGCGCAGGGGGTTCCAAAATTATGCAATCTCCTGATTGCATGTCACGGCGAAAAAGAAGAGGGGAGAACAGAGTGATGCATGAGAAACCAAACGTATCAACAAAGCAGAAGGAAGTACAAGGAACGATAACTTGAGCCGCGGATGAGATGGCGACAACATCCGTGGCAAGATCTCTGCAGCCCTGTCATATCCAATCCTCTGCCTCGTGGAGATAGTCCAGGTGACGCCATCATGGTCCACCCGATCCCCGTATGCTCTGCACCCCTGCTCGTTGCAGTCCATCGAATCAGCGCGTAGGTTGACGTCATCGTCGATGGCGTGATCTTCGCGAAGCTTACTGGTTCGTGTCGATGAAGGGAGGAGAGAAAGAAAAAAGGGGGGGGGGGGGKTCAAGTGAATGGGATCTACCACCGCCTAGTGGGAATGGGCCAGTAGAGGCGGTACATGCCGGGGATCTCGCGGGGATGACGGTGAGGAGTGGCGGTAGGAAGTGGTTCATCTCTTCCATGGTCACCGGGAGCTCCTCGTATCAGATGATCCGGTGCAAGCGGGGGAAATGATTGCCACTGCGGGGGAGGGAAGCGAGGTAATCGAGATAGAAGGAGGAGAGGGTGCGGAAATGCGCCGCTCGAAAGATCTCGAAGTGGCGACAGGCGGGGATTGCCCCCGTAGCAACGCAGTAGACCTCTACTACGTTGCTTCGCTCCCATGCAGCGCTGAACAGCAGGAGATGCCTGCAGAATGTGGGAGCAGCGGACTGAAAGGAGGTGTGGGGGTGGACGGTGGCGAGTAAACTGGTAGAGTAGAAGTCACAGAAGAGATGGGGATGGAAAGGGTGGGAAGGGAAGGTGACGGGGGTACGGATCTGTTCGAGGGTGAGGAAATCAAGGGGCCGGCGGGACAGCGTCCGAGGACGAAGGCCTATCGCCCGCATCGGTATGTGGGCGAACTGGGGGACGGGTGGGGCTGGAGGAGGAGGGGGATCGTCGTTGTCTCCGTCGCGCGGTACTTGAGGTGGGGGCTGCAGGGCCGACATCTTCGGGCCTCGGCGGCTCTGGCTCCTGGTCGGATCGCTACCGATGCCCAGGCTGGTTTCGCTAGCGGACTCCAGCTAGCGCTTTCCAGAGGCAATCTCTTCGCGCTTTCACGCCGCTTCCGGATCTTCCGCCTCCGTTCCCGTACACATCGCTTCCTCCGGCGGGGCTTCCCTCTCATACCCGGTTCCTTCTTCTTTCTCTTCCTCCTCACTCAGCTCGCCCTCGCTATGTTCACTATGGCTTCCCTCCTCTGATGTTTCCTCGTCGTTGTCTTCTTCTTCGTTGTCGTCGTCGTCGATCACCACTTCTTCTGCCACTTCGTCTGCCCTCGGGTAGAAGGCGTAAGGGATGATCTCGTACGGCTTCAAATACTCCTGCCGCGATGGTAGCGTATCCTCGTCCCTAGGTTCCTCCAAGCACGAAGTCCACTGAAGGTACGGGTCCAAGGATCGCTCGAAAATGTACGGAGCAGGACTGTCGTCACTCTGAAAGTAGATGTCGGGCGAGAGATCGTCCGCCAATTCTACAATCGGTGTGATGAGCTCCTGTGCAATCAGCTGACGGCGACCCAGTTGTACCGATCCAAAGAGGAATCCAATAAGATCTACTTTCGCGTTAGTCCTCCAACCTTGTATGATCAGCAGCTCCTGATTCTCGATCCACGTGGGGTGCTCGATAGTGCCCGTCCACTTTACTTGCACTCGGGTCAGACAGAAAGACATTTCGTCAAAAGTTTCGCGCCACAGTCGCCAATGTCCGGGATGGATAATAGGGACCGAAAGAGGCTCGAATGAGAAGGAGAGAGAAGGGTGAAGATCGGATTGCCAGAAGGTGGGGAAGAAAGAGGGAAGAACAAAGATAGAGAGAGGAGCGAGAAGATTGGCGTGGTTCATTGGGGATGGGGGAAGAGGACGAGGGTTGGAATCACAACTTGCCGCTCGCGCGGTGCTTGGCGAATGCCGTCAAGGTCCGATGCAGAGATCGGAATGATGTTATATCCTTTTCGAGCGAGGACGTGCTGCCACACGTTGGAGACTTGCTTCGTCCACCCGCGGAGCGAGGCCAAGATCGTGGTATGCCTCTGCGGGTTGACCGAGCTGATGTCACCGATGAATCCTGCCGCTGTGCTGACGTGGCTCATTCTGGGACCCGCTCCCCGATGAACTGCAGTAACCTTTGCAAACACTATCGCGTGCGGGCTTCCTTCTATCCGAAACGCAGCGGCGGCACAGATACCTTCGTCGCAGGAGAATCACATCAAACGGCGGAGATCCGTATTGAGCCGAGGGTGACAAACTTGCCGAATTTCTGAGATCTAGCCACGTGGCTGCTGCAGCTGTAAGTCAAGAACCCGCTCCGTGATAAAACTCATGGCGAGGTTGGAGAGGAGGACAAGGGACGAGAGGGAGAAAGAGGAGAGAGGGTTAGATCGTCATTGTTTTCCTCGCTTTCCAAAGGAGAAGAGGGAGGAAGATCGGAAGGAGGAAGGAGACGGAGGTGGGAGGTATGCCGGACGATGGGGACGGAGATATGACTGGCGCTAGCCTCAGGCGAGACGCGCACCATGTTGGCGCCGTTGGGTCCGAGTTCGACAACGAGAAAACAGCCAGAGAACTTGGGAGCGAGTTTCCGGTCGCGTGCACATTTACGTACTTGCACTAGGTCCCCCAATTTATATTGGTACTGGGGCCCAGCATTCCCGTTCCGAGCCTCATAGTTGCGGACCTGTCTACCGTGGGCCCGTTCGGTCATCCTTTGCCTTTTCCAGGCTAGCTTCGGAACGGCCCATTCCATTAAGTCGGCGTACCTCTTGGCCTTGGCTTTGAGGGCCGCACACGTGTCTCTACCCCCTGCTTTGGCAATTTCCGAGTTACCCCAGTAATTGACACAGGGGAGGCTATTAGTTCGAAGCTGAAAGGGGGTGAACCCCGTAGACTCGTGAGGGGTGGCTCGGTGGATCCCGACGATCTGATATACGATTTCGGGCCAAGGACGCGTGTCGTGTGCCGCTAAGTTCATGCGAAGGGCGGTTTTAATCATACGGCTGGCATTCTCGGCCAACCTGTTCGACTGGGACACGTGGGGTGCCGTATGTCAAAGCGTGATGCCCCTTCGCACAAGTAGTTCTTCTACCTCACCCTTAAATTCAGATCCATTGTCGGTTAGAATTTCTTCCGTATCTAGATGGGTATAGAGGAACCGTTCGATGTACATGGCTATTTCTACGGCCTTTCGGGTCTTACAGGGATAGACTTCGGTATATTTGGAAAAATGGTCAATTAATACTAATAAAATAGAATATTCTCAGCGGTTTGGGCCAGGTGGCAAGTCAATATCGGTCATGTCCATACTGACTCGCTGGAAAGGACGCTCTACTTCCGTTGGTACGATCGTGTTTGGTCCCCGTATGGGGGCGCGATCAGCGGTACAGACAAGACAATTAGCGACAATGTATTTGACATCATCTCGTTTATTGGACCAGAACCATCGGTTCTGATCTACAGTTGCCTTCGTGACTCGTATCACAAAATGAGCGGCCTGTTCCTCGTGAGCAGATCGGATCCAATCATATATCTGGAATGGATGAGGAACCGTCAACCACGAACCCGATTCGTCAGTTTTACACTTTTCCAAATACCCGTTGATCCATCGATAATCCTGAGATCTCTCGGTTGCCCTACGTCTGTCGTGTTTGGTGAGGCGACCCAATGATAACCCTGCTAATTTCGCCAATAAAATTTTATCTATCCAGAACTCCGCTCGTCGGTATGTTTCGTCGTATTCAGGGCCGTCCGTACAGGCGACCTCGAATCGAACCTCCGTGGGGAGCTTGTTCGTTCTACATAGGGGGCATTTCCATTCCTTGCTATTCGTTCGATATCAGACACAGGCCCCGTGCGCACGATTGACACACGTGGCACATTCTACCCAATCGACAAACCAAGTTTCGAAGGGATGACAGTCGACCCCATAAACTCGTGCAATGCACGTGCAAAAATAACAGAATTTATCAGGGAGGGTGGCAAAGAAAGTTGAGGAAGTAAGCGGGGCAGAATTAGTAGGAGAAGAAGGGGTTGTGAAGGCAGGTGGAGTAGTCATGATGACTGAGGGGAAGAGACGGGACTGAATTGTGGAGAGACTAGAGCAGGCAAATTATTCCTCGTGTCACTTACTGCTTCGACAAAATCTCCACTTTGGTCGTACCGAGGTTTAATTTTCTGCTCGGGTTCGTTCCACGGGATCACCTCCTCACTTTTCAGAACTTTCTCAGGCCTGTGTAACCGTGTCAATCCGTCCGCGTTTCCGTGTCTCTCGTGCTTCCGATGGCGGATGTCAAAGTCCATGCTCTGCAGCACCGTTGCCCATCGCCCAATCATGCTCGAGTAATCATTCGATTTCTTCAGAGCCAATAGGGGCTCATGATCAGTCACCAGGGTGAACTTTCGCCCATACAGATAAGCACGAAAGTGACTGATTCCCCAGAGAGCCGCATAGCATTCTCCCATCGGAGCGGCGTAGTTGCGCTTGCAGCAGGTACTGATTTCGACGCATACTCCACCACACTCTCAAGTCCGCTTGGTCCCACCTAGGCAAGGATCGCCGAAATCACCTCTGGCTGCCAGTTAGTGATGAGAACAAAAGGCTTTTCGGGATCCGGTCTTATAAGGACCAGAGCCGAAATGAGAGCAGCCTTGAGCTTGGAAAACGCTCGATCGCACTCGGGCGTCCAGATCAACGGTTGATCCTTGCGCAAGAGGTTTGTGAGGGGTCCCGCTATTGTCGCGAAGCCCTTGATGAATCTTTCAGTAATACGATGCTAGGCCCAGAAAGGCGCGAATTTGCGTGATAGTGGTTGGCGCTGGCACGTCCCTGACAGCTGCCACCTTCTGCGGCTCCAGTTGGAGTCCCTTGTCTGTCACCACGTGCCCTAGGAAAGAAATGGTGGTGAGGAAAAATTGACACTTCTCAAGCGCCAACTTGAAACCTGCATCTCGTAACGCATGCATTGCCCATTCGATGTGTTGCACGTGTCCCTCATAAGAACTCGAATACACTAGGATGTCATCCATGTACACAATCACGTAGAAGTTGATGATGCTCTGTGCCAAACGAGTCTTCCGTACGAAATTCTGAAAGGCCATGTTCATGGCCCGCTGAAAAGTTGCGGGAGCATTGCAGATACCCATCGGACATCGAATCCATTGCCACGTGCCTTCGAAAAGCACAAATGTTGTTTTCGGTCGATTTTCCTCTCGGACAAGAAGATGATGGAACCTATGACGAACATCAAACTTGCTGAAAAATTGAGCACTCCCAATCGCATCCAATAACTCATCAATCCGGGGGAGGGGATACACATCTTTAATCGTGATATCATTCAGCTTTTGATAATCAATGCAAATACGAATCCCGCCAGCCTTCTTAGGTACGATCACTACAAGGAAGGACCAAGGTCCTATAGCGGGTTCGATCCATCCATTAGCTTCGAACTCCTTAATCCGCCGAAAAGCGGCCGCTCGTTGAGCTGGCGAGTATCGATAGGGAGCGCAACTAATGGGCGGATGATCTCCCGTGAGCATGGCATGTTCAATTACATTAGTTAACCCAATGTCATTGTCATGCACGCTCAGCACTTCTGCGCAATCATTCAATACACAGATTAGCGACTAATGAAATTCCGCGGGAACGTGACTCGGGAGGGGGATCGTCGATCTCCCGGGCATATCGATCCAGTCAACCGGCCGTTCCTGCCGCTCATGGACACTAAAGAAAACGGAACTACTAGTACTAAAAGAAAAGACAGTTGCTATCATCTGGGACTCAGCGGGGCTGTTCATCTCCGTTTCTTTAGTTTCAGCGTCAGTCTCTGAACCAACCGAAGTCGGTTTCACAGTTAGTCCTGTTAGATCTGTCATTTCTTGCATTAGATTCGGCACATCACTTACCGGTGCTTCCGCTTCTTGTTTAATCAAGGTGATGGTGGCTCCTGTCATTAGTTATGATCGGGGTGGGAAAACAGAAATGTCCAAATACTGTTCCGTTTGCTGATAACGCGTTCGTAAGGACAGAGCTCCCTCGTACAAGGTGCGAGGGGGTTCCAAATCATCAGCCAGATCGAAAACTTGTAATATGGGTTCCCCGAGGAGGACAGAAGGACTGACCTGGGTTGTTAGAGGCGTGAATGTACTGTCTTCGGAATCCACATGGAAGCTTCGAGCAATGTTGGGCCACACTCAAAATTTTTCGGGGGTTTCATGTTCGAAAAGTTCGACCAGACACTTTCATTCCTCTTTACTGGGCATCTCTTCTTCATATTCTCGTTCCCCGATTCCATCCCCGAGGTGCGAGGGGGAGCATTCCTCGGGATCTATGTATCGGATCATCTCTATTTGGAGCGAGTTAGGAACCAGTTTTATCGTTCGGGTGGAAACCCGCAAGGGAACAGTCTGAAGCTTTCCCCTAGTCTGTGTGAGGACCAATTGTTTCGAATCGAAATGCAGACGTGAGCCCACCGCCATTGCCCAGGGCAATCCCAACAATACAGAGTAGGAATTCCTCGTCGGCAGAGACATAGTTGTCTTTGCCAGATTGAGGAAGAATGGATCCAAGTCGTCCCGTCTTTTTAACAGTCTCCAATGATATGGCCACTGCAGAAGACCCTGTGTCGATTAGGGTACTAAACGGATTACCCCAAACTTCACAGTCACATTCCGCGCTTTTCCATTGTACCAGTCAAGCTCGTACGAAGTGATCCTTTTCTGCTAAAGAGATCGCTGCTATACGTGCGGCTTCGGGTTCAGGTTCTTTTGTGTCTGGCTCGAGGGGTGCAACCTCCTCACCTTGTCCCTTCTTCTTCAGCATCCGTTGTACGCGCTGATAGGTGAAGCGCTTTTGATTTTTCTGACAATGTTGTAATAGTTTATCGTTCACTGTTTCAGATATGGTGAGCAGATGTCCCATTGGGATGGGCACGCGAATGTCTAGTTGCTTGAGCGTTTTCAGTACATCAATATCCCCTGTCCGAAACTATGGTCTAGGATTGGACTCGCGATCGACCCATTCGAGATCATCTTGGGCCGATCGGATTGCTCCGATCATTCCGGCAAGATGGAGATACTCGAGGGGATCGACCACGTCAGCAGCGTCAGAGGAAGAGGCTCCTGATGTCGACGCCATTGTCATCGAAGGGGAAGGCTGTTCTGGAGCGTATGCTACGGCCTCTCCTCCCTGGTCCATGCCCATCAGAGCAGCCACTCGTCCTTGATTAAGGGCGACTGGGGCCGCAACAGGGGGGGGCTGATTACGTTTTGGCTGCGGACAGTCTCGGGCGAAATGCCCGGGCTGTTTGCAGTTGAAACACTCGATCTTTCCTGCCGGATTACCTAGAAGGGAAAACTCAGGGGCGAATCCTGGAGCAGGTGGAGCTGGTAACAGCGGAAATGATGCAGGGGTAGGTCGGGCCGGAGTCGGGATACGCTTAATGTGCCGGCTCATTATCTGCTTCATCCATTCCATGTGAGCCGCCTGCATTTGGATCAGGTTACTCATCCATTCGGACTGCTTAGTAGTGGCCGTATGGATCATCTGGGCAAGATGCAAATTGGTTATGGCTAACGAGGGGGGTTCGGATGGGGTTCCGCTTCTAACGGCTGCGATTAGTTAATTCACCAGGGGAGAGGGAGAAGAAGTAGCCGGGATATCAGAGACGATTCCGCTGGGAAGGTCATGATCGGGGCGGGGATAAAMCCGTTCGACCGCCTGTAGCCAAGATCGTCTCTTGGCCGTTACATTTGTAATATCCTCGTCTCCCTGGCTGATATATTTTTTTGTATCAGCCAAGTCTAGCTCCAACGCTTTAGTGATGATAGCCGACAACTTGGTTGTTTTCAGCGGAACCTTTTTCTGCAGTTTCCCTTTCAAGGTCGGACTTCGAAGGTGATCAATAAACAAGTCTTGAGCGGAATTCTTGTCTCGCGTGGATTTATCGAATGTGGTTTGAAATCGATCAACGAAATTGGGTAACAGTTCCCCTGGTCCTTGGGGTCGATTTTTTAGCAGTACCAGGCGGCATTTTCACTAACAACATGTTATTCGTTCAAATATGACATTATATTTTAAATTGGTACTCGCACGCTATTAATTTCATGTTAAAATTGTTATATTTTGGACCTGAATGGAACTTAGGAACCCCACGTGGCAGGTCTTGAACAAGCATGGGCTCGCTGATGGATGCGGGGCTCTATGCGGCAACAGAATGTTGTCGAATAGAGCCCCGCACACATCAGCGTGGCCACGCATGATCATGACTTGACACGTGGACGTGTGTGTCGTTGTGTTCAACTACCATCTTCGTCCCCGTCCTTAGTTTGTCTTCAGCGCCTCTATTTCGTTCGTCTTATGCGTTCGCCTATTTCTTTCGCGAACGTACCTCGGAGTGCGTTTGCGGATCTCGTTCCATTGGCGACCACTCGCCCCGATCAGATGGCACAGTCAAACGTCCACGTGTCAATTCCTGAACAAGTGTGTGCACGCTGATGGATGCGAGGCTCTATGCAGCAGCAGAAAGCATGTCAGGCAGCAATATAGCCCCGCACCCATCAGCGTGGCCACGCATGTTCAGGACATGACATGCGGACGTGTGAGTGTGTCATCTGATCGGGGCGAGATGAAGGAGTTTCGGGAGCAAGAATGCATGCATTTCATTGGCGATCACTCGCACCGATCAGATGGCACACTCAGACCTCCACGTGTCACGTCCTGAACAAGCGTGGCCACGCTGATGGATGTGGGGCTCTATGCGACAAAGGGGCTCTATGCGGCAGCAGAATGGATGCGAGGCTCCAATATAGCCCCGCGCCCATCAGCGTGGCCACTCATGTTCAGGACATGACATGCAGACGTGTGAGTGTGCCATCTGATCGGGGCGAGATGAAGGAGTTTCGGGAGCAAGAATGCATGTGTTTCATTAGCGATCACTCGCACCGATCAGATGGCACATTAGACGTCCACGTGTCACGTCCTGAACGTGCGTGGCCACGCTGATGGGCGCGGGGCTATATTGGAGCCTAGCATCCATTCTGCTGCCGCATAGAGCCCCTTTGTCGCATAGAGCCCCGCATCCATCAGCGTTCCCACGCTTGTTCAGGACGTGACATGTGGACGTCAGAGTGTGCCATCTGATCGGTGCGAGTGATCGCCAATGAAACGCATGCATTCTTGCTCCCGAAACTCCTTCATCTCGCCCCGATCAGATGGCACACTCACACGTCCGCATGTCATATCCTGAACATGCGTGGCCACGCTGATGGGTGCGGGGCTATATTGGATTGGGCAAGATGGAAACTTGTGCTGCGACTACAGCAAACGTGTCTGTTGTTTGGATTGGGCGAGCAACAACCAACTAAAACTTAGGACGACGACGATATCCCCCGTGATGACGCACAGATTATAATGACACACCACGGCAATCGCGGGGAGGTCCGGTGTGTGGTGGGGCGACAACAAAGCGAAGCGCCTCGGCCAAGTCGGATTAATCCGAACCACACCGGTGGCATTTTCGGATTTACCACATGCGCAGAGGGTATTGACGACGTCGTACGGTCTGATAAACTTGTACGTCGCGGCGCAGCCTGACGTGGTCGCACGTATCGGGAAAGCCTCTGTCGAAATCGGATAAATCATAGCCACACCCGTCTTTAACACTCAAGGACGAAGACACACCGTGGGAAATTCGGTTGGACCCGACGACAGCTGGGGAATAATGGAAGCTCGGATGGCTGGATGGGCGTCAACAGACCGTGGGGTCCATCCGCCGGTCCCCGTCTCGGATTAATCCGAGCCACATTTGCGAAGTTCAGGTTCAACCGAACCAAACCTCCGGCAGGATAGGGTTAACCCAGTGCTCGCAGGTCGGTGACGAAAACACGTKYTSTAGATKACCTCTTGTGGACGACCGTCTCTGGACCKCGTTGTTCGAATTCGTTTGCATCCGAGTCACAACCGTTACCGACTCAGAAGGACAAGAAAACTCGAGTTCCRTACGGACCGACAGGGGGAGGTCCACACCGCTTTGGASCTCGGATTCATCCGAACTACAACGRCGGACTTTACAATCCACTTGTCRACTTCGGATGACAACRTATTCGTCTTCGTCTGCCGTATCAGCGTTCTAGGGCCTTCTTGCGAGGTGTTGCTTTTCCCGGTGCAGGTGCCTATGCGACATCGCTTTTTCGACTGCGTCTGCTTCGGATGTATCCGATGTATCCCACGGTCTTCGTTTTCGACCATTCATTCTCTTAAGGGCAGTGTCACAAGGATGGCTTACGATGCCTCGGATTCATCCGAATCGTGCAGGCTTGTGGACCACTGTCGGCTAACTATGACTGAACTTCGTTCTTTTGGAGTCCGGGTGACCGATAACAGAATAYGTGTTGTGGGTCGTGGTTGATGTTGGGACGCGTTGACTGTTCTGAGTGAATGTGGGTTCATTTCCTCCGTGTGTTTCAGGGAATGGCTTCACACGGACGAGGCCGGGAGGGATGCAAAAGTGATGGTTCTGTCGACGACATCGTAAAGGGATGCAAGGTTGCTGGGAGGATGTTCGGCGGGTACGGCCATCGTGCGATGTTTTTGCCTCACTTTCTCCCGCTAGCGTCGGGGCACGACGAGGCCGTTCACGTCACAGACTTCCTCAAGGTCWGGGCGAAATCTGGTACCTCTTTTAGTGTCGTGAACATCGGACCTGGAACATCGATCAATGGTCCTGTTCGGTTCGCGGGAGGAGAGTGCTCTGAAAGGGAGATGGGAAGTCAGGGTGGCCTGCCAGCTACACCTCCTGATCAAGAGGTGGGCATGTCAAACGACTAGGAGGACGACCATCCGCGTGCTCCTTTAAAACCGGGCTTGCATGTATCTTGCCGCCACGGTTTGCTTGGGGAGTCGAAGCCACATGAAGGCGGCAATGGCGAACGGTTGGGAAAGGGCTCAGAATCGACGACTCCTCGTGGTCTGGTCAAAAGGATCGGTTCGTTCGTTCGTGGCATGCAGGTGGCCGAGGTTTCGCCTGGAGATCGAGCGGGTGGTCCGCAAGTTCGAGAGGTGTGTGGGTCAGATGAGACGACTCGCCGGGCCCGACCAGCGCCGGGGGAACTGCAGACGCAGTTGAGCCTGGAACGAGAAGCAAGTGGGAACCTCGCCGGTGAGGAGGACGTGTCCGAGCAGGGGCTGTTCCGTGAGAGATCGGCTGAAAAGACTCAGTCGGGAGGCAAGCGCAACTTGCCGGATGAGAAAGAGCGAGAGGGABTAGGTGCTCTGAAAAGGCAGAGAAAGGTAGGAGGGAGTGCTCGGACGCCAACAACACGAGAGGGCGGTTCTGTTGAGAAGAGGAAAAGGGTTGGAGGTAGGGATGAAACGCCAAAAGACTTGTCGACACAGCGAAGAACCAGTGAGTCTTCCGGGAAAAGGGCGAAATCATCGAGGGGGAAGAAAGCAGACGAGGGCGACAGCGGGGAGGGGGATGACGACGTGGAGATTAACCTCAACGCCTTTAACCTCGACAATGCGTTCTTCCTCGAGATGCAGACAGGGGTGCAGAAGGACGTCGTGTTGCACATCCATYCCGAAAGAATATTAGCTATTTCAGACTGGGAAGACGCGTACAACCACCGATCCTTGGACGAGTTCCTCATTGATACCATCGCGTCGGCTATGATCGACTGCTACGAACGTAAAGACATGAGATACATGAAGCCCATTTTTGTTTTTGCTCCAATCATCTCGCCTCCAGAGAACGGCGAGCCTGCTGTGCGCGTGCTGCCTGCTGACTTCGACAACTCACACCCGGAGAAATACTGGTATTATCCTGTGTGTGGACAGCATAACGCGAGGGTGGCGATGATGGTGAAAGACCATCCCGTGTTTGATTACTAGTAATTTACTACAACTTCTGTAAATGGCCGTTCAGACCGATCTACTTCCTTGACGACGAGTTCGACGGCTACGCCCATGTCAGCTGCGAAGACAACATGAAAGACAAGAAGAATCCACCGCGCTTGCAGGTTTTATCTATGCGGGACATTCGCAATATCTGAAAAATTAAGGGCAAACCGCGTGTGGTGCTCGACAATGCCTCGAAGAAACAGGACGAGGTGCAAAAGTGGGTGCGGTTCATGGCGTTGGCGATGAAGAAGACGCCGTACACGCCTATCTGGAACCTGTCAACGGAAGCAAAGAAAAGAAAGGAATGGGCTGAGAAACTTCGATACTACCTCCCGCTGGCCATGGCAGATGACTCCGTCTTCGCTTTGAGGTTGAAGTTCTATGAGGAGTGGTCGAAAGGGAAACTCCTTGTTTTCGACAGCCGGCATTGGACTGAAAAGCCGCCCATCCATGAGGAGGTGGCCGAGGGACCTCCTTCCTCGACTCATCCATGGGCCCGCCCCTACCTTCGTCCCCCGAATACAACGCACGGTCATTATAGCTGTATTTATGGAATCTTTCAGTCTAAATACAGCTATAATGACCGTGCATTGTATTCGGGGGGAAGAAGGTCGCGCACCTCATCCCCCCAGTCAGAAGGGGGCTGGGAGCCGTTGTCCTGGGGCGAGGTCCCACTAGCGAAGAGGATCGGATTCCACGTCTGCATGGTGACGCAGTTCGGCTTTTTTTTTTTTTTTTTTTTATAACCAAGATCGAGGCCGGGGACCTCACAATTCAACCCGGGGCCAAGTCCCACTAGCAGCGTTGAGCTACCTCAACGGTTGAATGTGGACGCTTTTGAGTAGATGTGCAGAAATGGTGTTGAGTTTCCTGAACTGCACGTCTCCACAAACAAGTCCAGATTCAGGCGTTGAGGTAGCTCAACGCTGCTAGTGGGACTTGGCCCCCGGGGTTATCCCGGCAGCATCAGCCGGTTTAATTACAGTCCTTAGACTGAGAGGTTATCTTGCAGCCAGCGTCCATGCTACAACTACGCTAAGCAAATTGCCTCAGGACAATCTGAAATATCCACCTATACTCTAGTTTCTGCTGAGCTAGAGGGCGGGGGGCAAACAGACGGCCCCAGTGTAATCAGCTACCACATAAAACTACCACAGGTCAACTACAGTTCGGCTTTTTTGCATCTCTGCCTAAAGCACGTCCAGATTCAGGGGCTTGATCCAATGCTGTTCGACGTCTGTATGGGGACGCCCCGTGTCGACGAGGTAGAGAATATTGAGATGAGTTGCCTTTTTTTTTTTTTTTTTTTTTGCAAATTTTACATGACTTGACGTTTTTGAATCTCTGCCTAAAGCACATCATCCAGATTGCAAGTCCCACTAGCAGCGTTGAGTTTTCTCAACACCTGAATCTGGCCTTGTTTGACGAGATCTGCAGACACGCCTGAATCTGGGCGTGTTTGAGGGGATGTGCGGTTGTACGAAATTCAACGCCATTTCTGCACATCTCCTCAAACACGGCCAGATTCAGGTGTTGAGAAAACTCAACGCTGCTAGTAGGGCTCAGCCCCCGTTCGACGCCTTCATGGCGGACGCTCCTGGCGACCTGGTGCTGAATATGGAGAACAGTTGGCTTTTTCTGCATCTCTGCCCAAAGCGCCTCCAGATTCAGGCGCCTTATCCAATCCTCTTTGCTACCGTCTTCCCCCGAACACAACGCACCTTTATTTTGAATGTATTGGACCAGAAAGCCAGCTTGTATACGCTAATTATCAGGGCGCGTTATGTTCGCAGGAATACAGTAGTGGGACCGGCCCCCTGGGGCGAGGTCCCACTAGCAAAGAGGATTGGATAAATATCCTGAATCTGGACGTGTTTTAAGTAGAGATGCGGGAAAGCAGTTCAATCGCGACATTCTGCACCTTTCCACAAACAAGTCCAGATTCAGGCGTTCGATCCAATCCTCTTTGCTAGTGGGACCTCGCCCCTGAGCTCACGAATAGATGTGAAAGGAAAACACATTGAGTGCTTTGGGACATCGGTTAAGATTGGAACGACGCAGAGAAGGAAGATTATTAATTCAGCTGCGTGTCCAGCTCAACTGGCGTACTATTCTTTCGCCTTTTCTTTAAGAATACCGTGGGCTGAGCACACTGAGCAGCTTATCACAATTTTTCACGGCCCTTCGCTCCGCCGAAGGGCTAATTTTATATATAAAAAAAAAGAAAAAAGAAAAAAGATTATTATGGCCTCTGCGCAAGGATGACACGCATAAATCGAGAAATGGTCGAAATAAATTTAAAAAAAAGAAAAAAACGGCACACACACACACACATACACACACACACACACACACACACATTCAGAATAGTATCTGTTTGTGGAAAATAAAAAATAAAAAAATATCGACGTCAGGAATTAAAAGGCCTTCTTGGAGGTTCTAAGGCCTTGGGAGGTGTACAAAAAAGAAAAAAAGAAAAAAAGAACGAATTGATATAAAACGAAAAAGGAAACAGAAAAGAAAAACAAAAAAAAACAAAAAAAGAAAACAGAAGTTATCCTGGCAGCCTCAATTCCTTGTTTTGGAATTAATGGAATCGGCGTCAGAGCCCATGCAGCGCTCCATCTGGCGATCCATGTGTACGCAACTGGCTGTGTCTATACATGGACTGCTGTAGGCTGTCTACCTGTCCGCACACAGAGGCGTGCCCGCATCCGCCTTGGCGTGCAGGGCACGGCTGCAGGATGTTCGGCTTCTGTGGACCGGGTGGTAGTCGGATGGGAGGAAAGGTTATCGCCCTCGCTGAGGGCGTACTCACACGCGGCCCTCCAAATCAGAGAACTGCAAAATGAGCGGCCAGATTTTTGTCTCCTTGTAACCGAAGGACTGGACTTGGCCGCTTATTTTGTGTTTTTTTACCATTTCTCGATTTATGCGTGTCATCCTTGCGCAGGGGCCATGCTGATCTTCATTCTCTGTATCGTTCCAATTTTAACGGATGTCCCGAGGACCTTTTTGTGATTTTGAGGGCCTAGTGTGTGTGTATACTCTCAGTTCTTCTACGGTAGGGGTTTGCGCTCTGTACGGCTGGCATTTGGCAGCAGCGGGCGAGCTTCACCGACCGATGGAGATTTCACATCCCCGGACGCTAATGCCCCCCAAAGCTGGATTTCTCGCAGATGATGACAAAGATCAACGGCCAGCAGGGAAGATATCCTCCTTAACTTAGCGGGACATCACTCCACCGTAGTGTGCACTTCGCAATTATACCAGCAGATCGATCGTCGAGCGCCGAGCAAGCCCACAAGAGTATAGGTATATATATCACAAGAAGAGGAGTCCGGATTATCTATCCCATGCACTGCATGCACGACGTAGTACGTCCATCCGGTTTCCAGCGACGATCTGTGTCGCTCTGGCTGAGGAAACCATCGCCGGCGTAGTCCTTCGACCCTTCGACCCGTCTTCGAACTCTCTCTCTCTCTCTCTCTCTCTCTCTCTCTCTCTCTCTCTCTCCCTCTCTCTCTCTCTCTCTCACGGGCCCTCTGTTCTGACATAAACGACGATCATCATGGCGCGCCAGCGCTTTTCCACGCTGCTGGGTATCGGGCTTGTTGGCCTTGTCCTCTTCGCCGCTCTCCCGTCCGTGTATGGTAGAAAATATTGCCCCGACGAGGACGACTGTGGAAAATGCAAAGGGACGAACTGCCCAGGGAAGGGTAGTCCCCCTCCGCCTCCTCCTCCTCCTACGTGCAATGGTGGTTGCGGGTGCGACAAGCCTCTGAAGGACTGTGACTTCTTCTTCCATGGCCACAAGGACAAGGTGCCGACCATCACTCTCGTCCGAAAGGGAGACAACCATATCTACGTCGACTGCGGTCATATCGTGCATCAGGACGGGTAAGTCAGCGTCGTCCCCTTGGCCTCTCAACAGATAGAAAAAACTACAAGTCAGACTGAGAACATATATTTTTTTTCTTAAGGCTTAAGATTGAAATGAATGGTACGCCTCCATCATGTACCTATCCTTTCCCCTTTCATCTCTCTCTCTCTCTCTCTCTCTCTCTCTCTCTCTCTCTCTCTCTCTCTCTCTCTCTCTCTCTCTCTCTCTCTCTCATGACTGCGCGTTCTTGTTTTCTTTGTTTCTTACTTCACAATGTCTCTGCTCTTTCGACTTCTTTCTTGTCTGTCGTTCTCCTGTTTCCTGTATGTCGACTGTGTTTTTTCGTTCTTTCATTTCTTCTTTCATTTCTGAGCTCAACGTTGGTAAATTGAGGCGAAGAAAAGAAAAAAAAAGAAAAAAGAAAAGAAAAGAAAAGAAAAAATCGAGTTGCCAACTGCGAGCCGCGGTCGAGTTATGTGCGAAACGATGCACAACTTGTTATTCGCCTTCTCTTTTTTTCTTTTTTCTTTTTCTTTTTTTTTCCTTTTTTGTTTTTTCACTTTTCCAATCCTGAGCGTGTGTTGTGATCCAGATATACTTAGTCATTCTTACTCTACCGGGGCAAGAAACCAATAAAGAAGACATGAAAAAGAAAAATATATATATATATATATCCCACTTTCTAGCTGAAGATCCGGCAACCACTGAGCAGTGAATCGACGACGACATTACACTCCCTGCTTCTGTTGTCATTCTTCGATGCGTTGATGAATATGAGGGGTTATACTCCCATTAGCACTGTCATAAATGCATCTGACTGCATTTACGGCCGGATCTGTATGCATCTGCCCCAAATTCCGTCCACAAATAAGCTAAAAATGTGCTAGTGTGAGTCTTCGCTGAGTGAACTCTGCTCCTTGACACATGATCCTACGGTGTGATCGTTGCTATCAAATCTGACTGTTGCAATATTTATTAAATAAATAAATAAATAATATAAATAAATAATATAAATAAATAATATAAATAAATAAATAAAACTCGTTTTGTTGTTAATGCAGGCCGGACACGAGGCCAGTCCAGACGGTGAACTCCGCACACTGCTCGCTGCTGTCAGGCGGAAGCTGGGACCAGAACAGATGCGGTCACCACATTTACGGCAACGGAAGGCACATCGCGTCTCGSCATTTCCCCAGCATTCAGAACCCATCCCACTTCCTCAACGCGTGCATCAAGGTGCAGATCAGCGCAGCGCAGTACAAGGACGGVGGCAACTTCAACAACGGTCACAGCAACCCCAGGGCCTGCATCCTCGTCAAGACGGCAGGGAGCTTCGCCTAAAACCCAGCTACATGTAGAAGTAAGCGTAGGGCTGTTGTGTAATCTGCTGATCGTAGTGGACAAAAAATCCGCGTAATCTCCTCCGTTTAGGACGCACAAAGCAGGTGCCACGTGGCCACAGATAAAATGACAAATGCGAATAGAAGGCCGTCATGTTAACGGCTGCAAACGGTGTACTGGGGACTAGATGCCTAGACTGTGGTGAAGATTTTTGTCGGCTGTTCACTAAAGTCTAAATCAATCCGTTCCGTCAGGAATACTCGCGGAGTCGCGGAAGCGGCGGAAGCGGCGGAACGGATTAAAGGACAAGAGCAGTGCGTCCAGCGCAAAGAAGTGTTATATCAACTTACTATATGGGTGCATGAAGCAATGATGAGAGCATGATGTCTATTTCGCGTTCAGAGAATCCTCTTCAAATTTTGCTGTGATATACATGAGGAGTCCGAAATCCCATTGTAAGCATTTGATAGTGTCGTGGTGGAATACATATGCTCTCCTTTTATTGGGCGCGAGCATCAACATACTGAATCGTCCCCC